TCATAGGTTGACTCGCGATTTGTAGATCGTCCGGGATGCGTACCCATGGCGTGAGCCGGGGCGGCAGCCAGTCTGGCATTGTTTACCAGTGAGCGAAGGTCCCCTCACGTGCTCCAGCGAAATATTTCATAATATTCCATTTATTTTAGTGCTTGCAAGTACTAAATAAGCTACCATGGCTCCAAAGAAAGCTCCTAGTGCCAAGCCTGTGGTAAAGAAGGTGAGAAATACGATTGAATTTAAGAAAACCATCATTGAACAATATGAAAGTGGTACAAGTGTGGCCGAACTGTCCAGGATGGTATAAGAAACCCTACACAACCTTATGTTCCATAGTGGCCAAGAAAAAGGAAATAAAGGACGCTGTTGTTGCAAAGGGAGTAACTATGCTGACAAAAATGAGATCACCAGTACTGGAAGAGGTTGAGAAGTTATTATTGGTGTGGATAAATGAGAAACAATTAGCAAGAGATACTCTCATGGCTTCGATTATTTGTGAAAGGGCTAGGCAGTTGCATGAAGATTTGGTAAAGAAATTGCCTGCAAATAGTGGTGATGTGAGTGAATTTAAGGCCAGCAAAGGCTGGTTTGAGAGATTTAAGAACCGTACTGGCATACACAGTGTGGTAAGGCATGGTGAGGCTGCCAGTTCGGACCACAAGGCGGCTAAAAAATATGTGCATGAATTCCAGGAGTACATAGAGGCTGAAGGACTGAAACCTGAACAAGTGTTCAATTGTGATGAAACAGGCCTCTTTTGGAAGAAAATGCCAAGGAAGACCTTCATTACACAAGAGGAAAAGGCAATGCCAGGACACAAGCCTATGAAAGACAGGCTGACGCTAATGTTCTGTGCTAATGCTAGTGGGGATTTCAAAGTGAAGCCATTACTAGTGTACCATTCTGAAAATCCCAGAGTGTTCAGGAAAAACAATGTTATGAAGAGTAAATTGTGTGTGTTTTGGAAATCTAAAATAAGGCATGGGTCACGAGGGAAATTTTCGTCGAGTGGTTCAATGAAGTGTTTGGCCCTAGTGTGAAGGAGTATCTCCTGGAAAAGAAATTGGATATAAAGTGCCTGCTAGTAATGGACAATGCACCTGCTCATCCTCCAAACTTGGATGACCTAATTTTCGAGGAGTTTGGGTTCATCACAGTAAAGTTCTTGCCCCCGAATACCACTCCTCTCCTCCAACCCATGGACCAGCAGGTTATTGCAAACTTTAAAAAACTCTACACAAAAGCAGTGTTTCACAGGTGCTTGACTGTGACCACAGACACTCACTTGACCCTAAGGGAATTTTGGAGAGAACACTTCAGCATCCTCCATTGCATAACCCTTATAGGTATGGCTTGGGAGGGAGTGACTACCAGGACTTTGAACTCTGCCTGGAGAAAATTGTGGCCAGATTGTGTCGACAAGAGGGATTTTGAAGGATTTGGGACTGACCCTAATGAGCCTATGTCTGTTGTAATATCAGTTGTGGCACTGGGGAGTTCCATGGGGTTGGATGTGAGTTTGGAGGATGTGGAAGAATTGGTGGAAGACCACAATGAAGAGCTCACCACTGAGGAGCTGCAAGAGCTTCAGCAGGAAGAGCAACACATCGCAGCTCAGAATCTTGCTGCAGAGGAGGAGGAAGAGAGATGGAAGAAGGTGCCTTCTTCAGAAATTAAAGAGGTAAGATGGAAAGCTTTATGGAGAAACATCACCCTAACAAGGTTGTTGCAAGCCAGGTTGGCAACATGTACAGTGACAAAGTCTTGGGCCATTTTAGGGAAGTGTTAAAGAGACGCCAGAAACAGAGCTCTCTCCACAGTTATTTTGCGAGACAGGACTCCAGTGACTCTCAAGGTGGTCCTAGTGGCATTAAGAAACAGAGAAGAGAAGCAACCCCAGAAAAGCAAATGGTACCTGAGGTATTGATGGAAGGGGATTCCCCTTCCAAACTATAAACAATCCACTCTCTCCTCCTCCTCCGGTCTCCTATACACTAAGAAGAATCTCCAATAAAGGTAAGTGTTATGCTGTTAATGTTTCATTCATCATTTCCCATTGTATTGTTTATGTACTACATGTATATTTCATGTAAAAAATTTTTTTGTTTTAATACTTCTGGGTGTCAGGAACGGATTAATTGTATTTACATTATTTCTTATGGGGAAAATTGATTCATAAATCGTAAATTTCGTTTATAGTAACGGCTCCATGAACGGATTAATTACGAAAAACGAGGGACCACTGTACTATGAAAAGACGTTTGAACTTTCTGATGATCATCATCTGTGAGTGCTTATACGTATTACAATATCTGCCATATAAATTCAATACTGTACTAATATATAATTAAAATAGCTTTTAATTATTTATTTATTTATTTATTTATTTGAACATGATACAGAGAAGTACAAGGAATACAATTTTTAAAGTGCAGCATGCCAAAACCCCTTGTATGTAGAGCATTATGGGCAGGCTTAAAATTAACTTAAGATTAACTAAGCAATGATATATTCAGTGGTACAAAAATTATTGTAAAACAGATAACAATTTAGTACAAATGAGTATTACAAAGACAGGTCATATGGTCATTTACTGTGTTGCTGTGTAATCAGTAGAATGGAGTATTCTGTTAGGTAATGAAGTTAAATAGTAACAAAGTTTGATTTGGTCACAGGTTGACATTTATGAGATACAATAATGAGATACATATATGAGATACAATTATTCAGTATTTATTTAGTTGTGGGTGAGTAAGTGATTTTTGAGAAGAGACTTGAATTTATACACAGACAGTGTTTCTTTTATATTCACAGGTAATGAATTCCAGATTTTAGGGCCTTTTATGTGCATTGAGTTTTTGCATAGCGTGAGATGGACTCGAGGAACATCAAAGAGTGATCTGTGCCTTGTGTTATGGTCATATGTTCTGTTGAGGTTGGTAAGATGATGTTTGAGGGGAGGGTTTATGTCAGAGTTAAGTGTTCTATGTATGTAGTAGGTGCAGTAATAAGTATGGATGTTTTGTATTGTGAGTAGGTTTAGAGTTTTGAATATTGGTGGAGTGTGCTGTTAGGAGAGACATCTGAACTGGCATAACTGCATGCCTCTGGTAAGACAGTGATAGTGTGAATGATGGTGAAAGTGTTTGTCAGGTCACCCTGTTGCAGTGTCTGACATCTGTCAGACACTGCAACATCATGGGATCTTGGTACAAAGACTTCAACGCTTGTCCAACCTTTGGACGACGACCTACTTACACTAGTGGCAGGTCCCACTGTGATCCCGCCTCCTCCTGCTTTGACTCATCTGACTGCGTTTTTAAAAACCACCTTTCGGGCCCCTATGTGCCCCTTTCCCTACAAGAGTGATGGACTGAACACATTGAATCCAGGTTGGGGGACTATTTACCTGAAACTCTTTCCTCTCCTTCCCCAATTTTTCTTTGTATTGGAGGTTTGAACCCACTGGTGGCAAAACATTTCCCCAATAAAGTTTTCCATGTTTTTGAATAAGTCCCAATTCTTCAACTTATCTTTTCAAAAAACCCTTCATCAATTAAAATTTAAACCCCTTATGGAAAAATCATTTTTTTAATGAGGGTTTCTTCAGGGTGACTGGTCATTATTTTTTTACTGTAATGGGGCTTAAGCTTTATTCTATTCATATTTTCTAACATTACCATAAAACCTTTTTTTTTATGGGGGTTGAAATATAAAAATTGCTCCCCTTTGGTGCAAACAATTTTGGGGCCCGGGGGGAGAGTTCAGTTTGGGGCACTTTAGGGTGAGGAAGTTCCATGGGGTTTTAAGAATATCGGGAATTTGGGAAAAACTTCCTAAGCAAATGGTACAAATTTTGGGGGGTTTTTTGGAGTGGTAAGAGCTCTCTTCTCTCCCCCCCTACTTGGGGGGGGATCAATAAAGATGCTGGGAAAATCCTTGTCAATGTGATTCTTGATGAGCTTTTAAATATACTATTTTTGTTCTTTTTTACTTTTTTTTTTTCTTTTTATATTTTCAGCTTACAGAAGTAATTTTTTCCCCTTTCAATTTAAAAACACTGGATAATTTTTTTTATTCATAGTGTCTTCCACCCGATATAAAGAAGAATTATTAAATTTTTTTTTTTTCTTTTTTAACAAAAAGGCCCTCCCCACCAAAGGCAAATAAACCCCAAAAAAAATCGTAAAAATTTTTTTTTTTACAATTTTTATAACTGTTTGACAGACATAAATTTTTTTTTTATTTTAACGGGTAAAGTGGGAATTTTTTTCTCAAAAAAGCATGGTTACAAAATCAACATGAAAAAAAAAATGTAAATTTGGGAAGGGACTGATGAGGACTTTAAACCCAAAAAGTCCCTAGAAGGGATGTCCCTTCAACAGGACTAAAACTTTTTGCCCGGGGGAAAATACAAGAAAGGAGGAAAAAAGGGAATAATCAGTCGGCCACTGTACTAGATGTTTTGGCCCAGACAAATTAAAACATTTTTACATCAAGTGCATTCTGACTTATTTATGAGTGTTTATTGTAGTATTTTTGTCAAATTTAAAAATTTGGGTCATTAAAACTATATTTTATATTTTTTCTTTTCCTCTTACATTTTTATTTAAAATTTTATGGTTTCATACTGAAAAAAAAAATTTCCTTCCCCCGTTGCACTAATGTTGGTCATGGTATGAACAATTTTGCAGAAATATGAAGATGTAGGTACCCCTATATATAAAAAGTATAAATCAAACTGAAATTTTGCTTAGATGGTTTCATTCATGTAGAATGAATTGAATGAGCAATATAAGATGATCTAGAGTATAAATCTAGGGTTGATGAAATGAGTGAAGATAAAAGGTTAATCGTGTTACGTGATATATATGGTATAAAGGGACTCAGATAACACTTGAGTTACAGGAAGTATAATGCCTGTTGTTTTAGTGTCAGGATGTTGCAAAATGGTGATGATAAAAACCACATTATAGTAGTGTATTCTGTATAATTTCCAGGGTATCAATCTCAGTGGTGGACAAAAGCAAAGGATATCCTTGGCCCGTGCAGCATATAGTGATGCTGATATCTTTTTACTAGATGATCCTCTCAGTGCTGTAGATTCTCATGTCGGTCGTCACATCTTTGAGAAGCTGATTGGTCCTAAGGGAATGATGAAAGATAAGGTAAGTAGCATATCTTTAAGAAGCTGATTGGTCCTAAGGAAATGATGAAGGATATGGTAGTAGTAGTAGGTTCTTTGGTGCTGTCCCGGCCTGGGTCTTCTCCAGATGGTGAGTCAGCAAGGATAAGGTAAGTATTACCTGGAGTTTACCTGGAGAGAGTTCCAGGGGTCAACACCCCCGCGACCCGGTCTGTAACCAGGCCTCCTGGTGGATCAGAGCCTGATCAACCAGGCTGTTACTGCTGGCTGCACGCAATCCAACATACGAGCCACAGCCCGGCTGGTCAGGTACCGACTTCAGGTGCTTGTCCAGTGCCAGCTTGAAGACTGCCAGGGGTCTATTGGTAATCCCCCTTATGTATGCTGGGAGGCAGTTAAACAGTCTCGGGCCCCTGACACTTATTGTATTGTCTCTTAACGTGCTAGTGACGCCCCTGCTTTTCATTGGGGGGGGTGTTGCATCGTCTGCCAAGTCTTTTGCTTTCGTTGTGAGTGATTTTCGTGTGCAGGTTCGGTACTAGTCCCTCTAGGATTTTCCAGGTGTATATAATCATGTATCTCTCCCGCCTGCATTCCAGGGAATACAGGTTCAGGAACTTTAAGTGCTCCCAGTAATTGAGGTGTTTTATCTCCGTTATGCGCACTGTGAAGGTTCTCTGTACATTTTCTAGGTCAGCAATTTCACCTGCCTTGAAAGGTGCTGTTAGTGTGCAGCAATATTCCAGCCTAGATAGAACAAGTGACCTGAAGAGTGTCATCATGGGCTTGGCATCCCTAGTTTTGAAGGTTCTCATTATCCATCCTGTCATTTTTCTAGCAGATGCGATTGATATAATGTTATGGTTCTTGAAGGTGAGATCCTCCGACATGATCACTCCCAGATCTTTGACGTTGGTTTTTCGCTCTATTTTGTGGCCGGAATTTGTTTTGTACTCCGATGAAGTTTTAATTTCCTCGTGTTTGCTTGGTTTAGAATAAAATTTCTTTCTTTCAACAAACTGGCCATATCCCACCAAGGCAGGGTGGCCCAAAAAGAAAAACGAAAGTTTATCTTTTTAACTTTAGTGATGTATACAGGAGAAGGGGTTACTAGTCCCTTGCTACCAACATTTTAGTCGCTTCCTATGACACGCATGGCTTATGGAGGAAGAATTCTGTTCCACTTCCCCATGGAGATCAGTGGAAAATTTGTCAAGAACTGGTAAGAAAATAGAAGAAAACCCAGAGGGGTGTGTATATATATGCTTATACATGCATGTGTTGTGTGACCTAAGTGTAAGTAGAAGTAGCAAGACATACCTGAAATCTTGCATGTTTATGAGACAGAAAAAAGACACCATCAATCCTACCACCATGTAAAACAAATGCAGTCTTCCATTTCACACTCACTTGGCAGGACGGTAGTACCTCCCTGGGCAGTTGCTGTCTACCAACCTACTTCCTAAATAAAAATATTTTTGCAAAAACAGTGATTATGTGTGAGTGAGGTGAAAGTGTTGAATGATGACGAAAGTATTTTCTTTTTGGGTCACCCTGCCTCGGTGGGAGACGGCCGACTTGTTAAAAAAAAAAATATTTATTGACCAGGTGGAAAATTGTGTGGTGTACAGTGGGTCATCAACCCTTAACTCTCCTAACCTCACCAGGAAACTTTCAGATGCCAGTTACTGTAGAAAGTTTTATTAAAGCTAAAGTACTGACAGTATTTACATAATTTTATTTTACCAATGCAGTAACTGTCTAGGCTCTGTTTCACTTCTTGGACTGAATCTAGTTAACCTTTTCTGTTCTTTGATGGACCTACACCTCAGTTCTCTATATTGTTTTCCTCTACAACTTTACTTGTGAAAATTACAAAATATAAATAAAATTTTTAAAATATATATTTATTATATATATTAAATTTTATATATATTATATATTATTATATATAGTGGACCCCCCCCATAGGAACAAACCGCAGCGAACGCTTTGTTCGCCAAAATTTTGGGCCCCGCGTGGACAAAACCCCTACGACCCTTTGCGAGACCTCCCTTGTTTACCACCGCCTCCGCGGTAACATTCAACTACACTCGGAATATTTTTGTATATTACAGTGTTTTTGGGGCGTTTCTGGAAATAAAATGACCGGGGGCCCCCAAAACTTCTGTGCCCCCCCCGTTGAAAAAGGGGTGAAATTAGTATGGAAAATTAAAAAAGATTTTTAAGGGGTTTTGGGGAAACCCAGAAAACCTAACCAGTTTTGGGAATCCATTGTGCCTCTTCAAAAAAAAGGAAATTTGCACAGAGGTTTAACTGCCAAAAAAAACCTTTATGGATGAAAATACCCACACAGCTGTTGCAAGCCCTGCTGGGACTATTTCAATGACAATGTTTTGGCCCATTTTAGACAAAACTAAAGGAAAGGGGGTACAGACCTAAAGGACAGATTTTTTGTCGACGGGGCCATTGACTCTGAACTGGTCCCTTTTGGGATTTAAAAAAGAAGGGGAAATAACCCCGGGGAAAAAGGGCTTGCACCCAATCCAATGGAAAGGGGGGTTCCCCCTTCTAAACACTAAAAAACTCTCCTCCCCCCTCCCATCCCATCAATCATCACCCGATCTTCAATAAAAATAAGTGTCATGTAATTGTCATGCCTTTTTTCAGTTTGGGGGTTCTAAATTAACATTTTTTTTGTGGGAAAAAAATTTTTTTTTCATACTTTTGGGGGTCTTCACGGGTTAAATTTTTTTTCATTTTTTCTTAGGGGAAAATTTATTCGCATACGAACTTTCCAAACGACCCGCCCTTTTTGCACGGATTAAGTTGCTACGGGGGTCCCTTTATAAATTTAAAAATATATATATTATATTAATATATATATATATATTATATATATTTAATATATTAATATATAATAATAATATATATATAATTATATTTATATAATATATTATATAATTTATATATATTATATAATATATAAATAATAAAAATTATATATATATATATAAAATATATATATAATATATAATAATATATTATTTAAATATATATATATATATATAAAAAAATAATAATAAATAATTTATAAATTATATAAAAATATATATATATATATTATAATATTTAAAATTTGGTGTAAGGGGCTTGGGCTACAGCAAACATGTTAAGGTGTTAATAGAAACAATTGGGTTTTGGGACCTTTGAGCGTTAGTGTGACAAGGGAAAATTTTTTGAAGGATTCAGGGAAAACCCTTTAACTGGGCTTTAGTCCTGAGGGGAGAGGTCCAATGCTTCCACATTAAAAGAGAGGTTGGGGGTATTTTCGTTTGGGGAGACGTCTGAACTCTCATATCTCAGGCCCCTTGAGAGACAGGGTAGTGGGATGATGGGAAAATGTTTTTTTTTTTTTCCGGGTCCCCCCTACTTCAGGGGGAATGAAAACCCCAATTTTAAAAAATGTAAATACAAATGTATAAAAAGAAAATAGACCTTGCAATGTTTAACCCTTTTTGGGCCTTAAAAAACCATTTTTGGGCACTAAACCCTTACAATAAAGAAAAAAATTTTTTTCTTTTCTTTTTTCAGACCAGATTTTTAAGTGACACATGCAGTCTGGCTACAAACCAAAATTTTTATTTTTGTGGTAGTTTTGCATGATGGATTATAGGGGAAAAGGGCAGTTGGACAGAGCTGGTTGGGGGTTAGGGAGATTTTGCTCATTTTTCTTTTTCAAAACATTAAAAAAAATTTCCACTAACTACAGGAAAATTTCCCAAAAAGTCAGTGATAAAATTGGGAATTTTTTTTGATCGGTTTGTTGAAAAATTTCCTTTTTTGCCCATTCTTATGGAAACAGTATGAAATTTCAAAGAAAAAAAACGCTGAAATTTAACCCTTTGACTCCCCGCCCCCCCCTTTTCTGAAACGGGTCATTCTATGTCATAAATTTTTAAAAAAAAAAAATTTGTTTTTTTTATAAAAAGGGAATAGAGAATTTTTTTTCCCGGGGGGTTGGAAAAAGAAAACCAAAAATTACGAAATTTGGTCGAAAACTCACGGAATTAAAACCCCTCCCACAAAAGTTAGAAATTTCTCGGCGACACAAACCCGCTTTGGGCGTTTGGGCCGACTTTGAGCCCTTTTTTTGGGGGGCCAAATTTCCCTTTTTTCCAGTTGACCAAACCGGGCTATTTTTTTTAGAATTTTTTTTCCATTTTTCCTATAAACTGCGAAACAAAAAAACCCCCCCCCAAATTTACTGATTTGAATTTACCCAATAAGTGGTCAAAATTTGGGAAATTTTGGGCCCAAATTTTCCCATCCCAAACTAAAAAAAGATCCCAATTTTAAAAAATAGGTCCAGAAAAAAACAATGTAGACATTTTTTGGCACAAAAAAATAAAAAAATCCTTTTGTTCATTAGTCATGTCCCCAAGGGCCCCCTTATATTACTATTGTTTTTCCTTTTTTGATTTTTTTTTCGAAAAAAAAAAAAAACATTTACGTTAGCAGACTACGGATTATTTAAAAAGGGGAAATAAATAATATCATGCACTAGTAAAAAGATATTAGACTCCCCTTTGGAAGTGTATTTGGATGTGGGGTGTGATTTGCTTACTTTTGGGTATTGCCCTTTGGACGGGGAACATTTTTTTTAACAAAATACTTAAACTATACAACAAACTTTGGTCCATAAAAACAAACAGATAAAAAATAAAGGGCTGGTTCCCCCCGGGCTAACCGCAGCTTTCCTGAAATCCATTGATAAAAAAAACCCAATATGAAAACAATATAAAAGGGGCCCTTAAACACAAAGATTTTTCTTAAAAACAAAAATTCAACAGTTCTCACCAAATTAAAAAAAGAAAGCCAAACAACGTACTACTCCAAAATTTCCCACTGACAGAAGGGGAAGATATAAAAAAGACCTGGAAAACATTTTCCCCCAGATTCGGGGGACCCCAAACTAAAAAAAAACCAAGAATATTGTTTCAAACAAAACCCCCATGAACACCATTTGCACCCCCCAGATACAGCTCCCAAAAAAAATGATTTCCTCTCAAACATGGGATCCAATCCGCCAGTAAAATCCCCGTCCCAATCCCCGTCCCGGGGGACTACCTAGATGGGAATTTCCAAAATTCCTTCTACCCTTTTTGTCCCAAAAACTGACCCCCGGAAGTCACCACATCAAAAAGGGTCATTTTAAAAATAACCCCGGGGAACTGTCTCACGTCCCACCTTTAAATTGGGTACAAGCTACAGCCCAAGTCCTTTCGCTTTGCAATTACATTATTTTTTTAAACAAGTCACTGAAATTTGAAATTTCCCCCAACACACTCAAAAAGAAAGGGGTTTTAAACCCAATACAAAAAATTTTGGGTGACCCTACAGACGTAAACAACTATAGGCCAATATCAAATTTAAACCATTGCTACCCAAAAAATCTTCGAGAAACTCGTAAACGGGAGACTAAAAATGTAATTCATTTATAACGCACAAAACATCTAAACCCCCTGACTTTTGGGTTTCGGGGAAAAAAAAAGCCCCTAATAAATGCAATTATAAAAAGCAGACCTGCTTTAGACCAGCTTTGGAAAATTTAAGGAAATCCGCTAGGAATTTTTTTTGACCTAAAAAAAGCGTTTGACACGGAAAACCCCACGGCATCCTACTCCACAAACTTGCCCAAATATGGTATAAGGGCCAGCGCTTGCATAATTTTTAAAAACCTACCTTTCTAATAGGTTTCAGTATTCACCATTTAAAAACCACCTCACAAAATGGCCACTTGATACGGAGTTTTCCCTAGGGAAATGTCCTTGGCCCCGCTCTTCCTCATTTACATCATGATCTTCCAAAAATAACCCCCAAAACCGAAACCCCCTTCTCTTTGCTTTACGACACACTTAAGTCATCCCCACCCCCAATCTTGGCCCCCCTCAAAAACCCTTTTTTAAAAGGGAGCTGTCAAAATACCCAACTTAGATGACAGCCCCAAAAAACTTAAAACTTAACATTAGGAAAACCTACTATAAAAATGTTTGGTAGCAGAGCAGGGGTTTTTTGGGAAATTAACATTAAGATCGACAACACTCTAAAAGCCAGAAAATAATAGGGGAAATTTCCCTTTGGGCCCATACCTCGACAACAACCTAAAAATTTTAGCACCCAATCCCCAAAAATAAACAAAAAAATATCCAAAAAAAGGGGGGGATCCTCTCCAAGTAAAGTACTAAATCCCCAAACTGCACTTCTCACACTGTAAACCCTTCACCTTTTATTCCATACCTCACCTATGCTATCGTCTTGGGGTTTTTAAAATGCCCGCAAAAAACACCTAAAGCCCAAAAAAAACCCCAAAAAAAAGCCCCAGTAAAAAATGATCACTAAAAACCCCCTCCCTGGGAACACACCCCCCCACTCTTCATAGATCAAAATTTTTCTTTCCCCCTTTTAAAAACATCCACACTTACTAAATGTGCAATCTATAAACTTTTAGGACCTTAAATTTCCCAAAATTTTAAACCCTTTACCTAAAATTTCTTTTTTGATAGGGTTTTGGGCGAATCCCCAGGCATAACCCAGAAAAACAAACATCTCATGACATTCCCCCTGTTCGACAAACGTTTAAAAAAATTCAATGTTTTTCCCAAAAGGGCCTAAAAACTGGAACACCCACCTGAGAACTCTAGAACGGGAGACAAAAATTTATCACTTTTTTTAAAAATAAAGTTAGAAAACATCCCTTTTCTCCCAAACCACCCCGACCAAATTTAAAAACCCTTAAAACCACCTGGGGGTTCCAATTTCAAATCACTCACCCCCCTGACTTAAACCCAGGGAAAATTAACTTTAAAACTTAAAATTAAAAAATCCTTTCTAGTCATAAGTTTGCCTTATAATACCCCAATATAGACCCTTTTATTTGCCAAAACAAAAGCATTCACATTGGGTAAACTCACAAATTATATGGAATCACTTAGCCTTAATACCATAATCGTAAGGATTTAAAAGTTTAAAAATTTAAAAATTTAAATCTTTCTTTGAAATGCCTAGGGCCCGGCTAGGTGTCCTAGTGGCCCCCTCTTTTAAATTTGTATTTTAAAACATGTAAGGGCCCCACAATAAACCCAAAACCTGTAAACCCCCAAAATTGTAACCCTTATAGAGAAAAAACTTGAATTGAATTGAATTTAACCCTTTGGGAAAAAAATCGAACATTTTTTCCCCAAATTTTTAAACTCAAAAATTTTAAGGTTGTTTTTTTTCGAGAAACCCATTCCCCAAAAAAATCTTTTTTTTCTGTAACATTGGGGAAATTTTCCTATTTATTATGTGGGGGGGCGGCCTTAAAAAAAAACGGGGGAATTTAACAAAAAGATAAATCCCATACAAAATATACCTCAAAGTTGGTGTTTTAATCCCAAAAAAAAAAAGGGCCCGTTTTTTTTTCTTTATTACGCACTGTGTGCTGAGGATTTTTTTTTATGTGATCACCTGACACACAGACCCCCTTCTCTCACATGTGGGGGCCCACCACTTCTCCTGCTTGATTTGAAGCCGCTAGAAATTTAAAACGTATGAGTACGTCCAAAACAGTAAACGCTAAGACGTATATATACAAACCCAAAAAAAGCATAGGGTTTTTTATGGGCCCTTTAAAAAAAGGTCATAAGTTCAGTATTTGGATTCTGAAACATTTTTTCTATAAAAAAAAATTTCAGATTTTATGCGATATTTTATTTATTTTTCATTTCCAGAATTCCCTTTCTGAACCATAAAATTTCCCCAAAATTTTGTTTTATTTTTCTAAGAATATTTACCCAATATTTTACATTTAATACTGTTCTTTTTCATTCACAAATAGTAAAAATAAAATATTACTTTATTTCTAATTATCATACATAAAAGTTACAGTAGTTAGTTACATGTTTGCTTACAGTTTTCAAAAATTATAATAAATAATTACACTCTTGTTGCTGCCTCCCAGTATGAGTCTGATGCTCATGTAGTCTCCTTTACTCCCAGTCTCCCTCACTCCTTCCCACCATCTCCTCCCACTTCTCCAACACACCCTCCACCATCTTTCTATTTAAGACAAGCAAGTGGGCAGACAACAGCACACACGGCAAGACAGGGCAGGTAGAGCAAGGGAAAGCAGGCAGGCAGGCAGGCAGGTAGGTAGGCAGGCATGTAGGTAGGTAGGCAGGCAGGCATGTAGATAGGTAAGCAGGCAGGCAGGCAGGCAAACAGGTTACTATAAAGCATGGGTATTAACTTTTTTTTTCAACAAACGGCCGTATCTCACCAAGGTGGGGTGGCCCAAAAAGAATAACAAAAGTTTCTCTTTTTAACTTTAGTAATGTATACAGGAGAAGGGGTTAATAGCCCCTTGCTCCCGGCATTTTAGTCGCCTCTTACGACATGCATGGCTTATGGAAGAAGAATTCTGTACCATTTCCCCATGGAGATAAGAGGAAATAAACAAGAACAAGAACTAGTAAGAATATAGAAGAAAGCCCAAAGGGGTGTGTATATATATGCTTGTACATGCATGTGTAGTGTGGCCTAAGTGTAAGTACAAGTAGCAAGACATACCTGAAATCTTGCATGTTTATGAGACAGAAAAAAGACACCATCAATCCTACCATCATGTAAAACAATTACAGGCTTTCATTTTACACTTACTTGGCAGGACAGTAGTACCTCTCTGGCTGGTTGCTGTGTACCAACTGACTACCTAGGATGAGTATTTACAATCAGTTATATAGTATTGTATATATAAATGTATTTAAGATTTAATATGTACTTTTCAACAATATAATTATGCTGTTGGAAGATAAGTGACCCTTAGCATTTTCAGGTAGCAAGTTCCATATTTCTGGGCCTTTCATTTGCATCTAGTTTCTGAACAGACTGAGTCGTACGTATATACCAAAGAGATGCTTGTTTCTCATATTGCATCCATGCATTCTAACCTTACCTTCATGTTTAAATAGGTTCCTAAATTCATACTAACATTGCAGATGTTGACCAGCTTTGTGAAGAGCTAGAAAACACTGTTGGCGGACATGCTCTAATACGGCAAATTTCTCATCAGAGCAATAACATACAGCCTGAAAGGTTAGTTGTGACATATGTTTGTGCATTAGTAAATTATTAATCTATCTCGTATACAAATGACTGTTAATTTGTGAGTTATATAATACGTACTGTATAAATTTATTAAACAAATTAATTTGGGATAACATATTTTATGCTGTATATTTTTTAAAATACATTTTTGATGTACAGTATTTACTAAAGTTTAGTGTTTTTATATGTCCTATACATTTATCCAATTTAATTTATTTTGTTAAATACTTGGTCTTATAGCCATGAAGAAATGTGGTAATGTATATGCACATTATTTCTTCATAACTTTTCATTAATATGTCAAAAATCTGCATAGTAAACATTAATACTGTAATGGAAGTACAGTACAAAGATGTTCACTGGAGGAAGCTAGAGAGAGTATTAAAAGTAGTCCAGAAACTAGACATGTAGCAGCTTCCTACAGTTGTATGAAGGTGTTCAGTATTTTTAATTTTTAGCACATTATATTACATCTGCTCATTTATGAATTATTATTTTTATTCTTAGAACATGTATTATTGACTATGAATTTCTGTAAGTAGCAGAGTTAGTCCACTGACTGCTTTCACTGTATTTAACAGAGTTGGCAATGTGCATAGACTTCAACGAGAGATTAGCTATGCAAGTGACCGGTACAGTACAGAAAGTGGAGATCGCACATCTAATAGAAAACATTTGAAGTCTATTTCTTCTTCAGAAGCTGAAAGCATTGGTCAAAGCCTTAGACAGGAATCAATATCTATGAATGACTTAAGAGGAAAGCCTGATGATGTTAGCGGAAGAAATGCAGGAGAAACTCTGGTTCAAGAAGAAGCAGTTGAGACAGGAAAGGTAATTCTTGTAGCTTAGAATTATTCTTCTGGACTGTTAGTTGTACAGTATAAGAAAGGAACTAATTCATAATTCATTTAAAAATGCATAAAATACTGCCTAGGAATGATATTTTGGCAGTGGAACTCAGGCCATTATTATTCTATTAGATTTCTCCTTTTGACCTACGGTAGTTGCTTATTCAGTGTTACTAATCACACAGTATCCTCTCAAATTATTGCTTTCCAGATTTGGTAATGTTATAAAAATTAGCTTTATGTATCAGTAATTAGCTTGTAGGTACAGTGTAAGAGTGTTTTGTGGTAGGTCCAGGAAGTATAGCTTAACTTTGTCAGTTAATAAAATGGCACATTCAAGAACTACAGCTCTCTTCCTCAGCTAGTCTTCATCCTCCACCAAAGGAAAAAGGAGTAACTAATTAAATTCCTGACCCACTTCCCATCAGATGTTTAGTTACTTAGTTAGACTTCCTTCTTGTGGTGGAAAGTATTCAGATTTACCACCCTTGTGGTATCCATAGTTTTGCCAAACCCATTTTTGTTTTAAATGCTTCCTCTTCCCCTTAGCTTCATTAGGCTTCATGGGGCCCACAGGCCCCATAAAACACCCTCTTTTTATCCATTATAATCCGGGATAAATATTCTGAAGGGTCTTCACATAAACTAAGTAAAATAAAAAGGGAAAGGCCCAAATTTTATTAAAAAGTTAAGCAAAACATTCCTTTGGGTTTATTTAATTTATTTTAGCTTTCAAAACGTACTTTAGAGTAATAAAAAAAAGGGGCCCCCAAGCAAAGAAACCCTTGGTCCCCTAGGAAGGGGCCAATTAAATTTTTGGCAAAAACAACAACCCTAAGGAAACAAAATTGTACGAGTTTTTTTAAACATATTTTAACCCAGAAATTTATTTAAAAAGAAAAAAATTTCAAAAACAAAGAGATATTCTGCCATTAAAAAATCTTTTTGTGAAAACATTTTTTCAGTTATATTCCGTCAACAATGGATAAAAATTTCAAAGTGATCGTTGAAGTTATGATGGGGGGAGTACAAAAGGGAGTAGGTGTACTGAAAAATTTAGCATTTAGTCAGGGTGATTAAGGGGCTTTTGAAAAGAGCCTTACATTGATTTTCAGACGGGTTCTAATATCTTCGGGTAATGAATTTCATTTTTTGGGGCCCTTTTATGTGCTAGTTTTTTACAGTGTATATGGACACGAGGTATATCAAAAAGAGATCGTTCTTTTTTGTGGTCATTGTCCTGTTAGGTTGGGAGGAAATTTTGAGTGGGGGGTTTAAATTTTTTGCATGACGCTGTATATGTAGTAGGCACATAATAAGATGGATGTCTTAATGGGAGCAATTCAGACTTTTGAAAATTGGTGAGTATGCTTATTTTGTCAGGGTCTTGTGCACGACCTTTTTAACCATTTTTTTTACAATTTGAACCGAAAAGCGATGAAAATTTTCAAGTTTCAAATTTTTTTGCAGTGATTTTTTTGTACACTGAATTAATGTTTTACCACATTATTTCATTTTTAAAGGGGTTTAGCTACATTTTTTGGAAAAATTTTTTGGGGTAAAAAATGCAACTCCTATAAAGGGCTGGGAAAAAAAAAAATCCATAGGACTTGATCATTTTTTTAAGCAGAAAGTATGTCGAAAACCTTTAAAACAAGTATAACTTATTTACATTTTAAAAAAAAAATGTATGGGTAGGGGTTGGTAGACGAAAACCACCCGGGGAGGTACTCCGTCCTACCAAGTGAGGTAAAACGAAAGCCTTAATTGTTTTACTTTGATGGTAGTATGCTGTGTCCTTTTTTTCTGTCTCATAAACATGCAAGATTTCAGGTACGTCTTGCTGTTTCTATTTACACTTGGGCAACTACACATACTGTACAAGCTATATTACACACCCCTCGGGGTTTTCTGCTATTTTCTTTCATTTCGCCTTTATTTCCCTTATCCCCATGGGGAAGTGGAACAGAATTCTTCCCTCCATAAGCCATGCATGTTCAAAGGGACAAAAATGCCGGGGCAAGGGACTAGAAACCCCTTCTTTTGTAAAATTACAAAATTTAAAAAAAGAAAACTTTCATTTTCTTTTTGGGCCCACCCTCCCTTTGGGGTGGTAGGGCCCAGTTTGTTAAAAAAAAAAAAAATAAAAAAATTTGTTGCACACTGTAATGTTTTCTTTTTTGATTCATGTAAATTTTTTGTATTTTCAGTAAAGACTTCTTTGGTAGAATTTAAATTCAATTTTTTTCTAATTTTTGAAAAGGAATTTTTAAAAATTTTAAAAACAAAAACAATGGCTAGACATTGCTTATTTAAGGTTGTCAGCAAATGTGATATTATTTCACTAAAACATTTCCCCTTTTTTAGGGAAATGTTATAAAAATATTTTTAATGATTTTTTTAAACGCAGGGAAATTGGAAAGTATATAACTTTTTTTATAGCGTGGGACTCCTTTCTGTCATAATTTCAACATTTTGCTTGCGCTGCTCGGTGAGGATTTTGTTCCGCGTTCTCTTTGTAAAACCCAGAAAAGATATTAAAAGAGAAGTCTTCTTAGTTGTAGGTGCTGTGTGCAAAACTAAAAGTACGCAGTAAATTTTGCTTTGATATGTTGCAGTCTTTAGTAATTTACTGTACAGTAATGATTCTACAACAAATACCTCATACACATATATTTGTATGTATACCATGTTTTCTTTTTCAGGGATGTCAAGCAGGCAGTAATATTGGCTTTCCCATTGGTCAGCAAGACCCTCAATTTCCCCCTACAACAGCACGGGTGAAAATTTCAGTCGTGTGAATTTTAGCTGGCTTGGCCTTTTTGGGAATTGGGCTGTATGTTTTCTTTGATACTGTTTTCTATTAACCTGAAGAATATATTGACCTCAGTGATTTCAACCATTCAAGATTAAAAATTTTTTTTTTATATGACTTGCAAATTTAAAGTTTTTATTTTACATAAAAGTTAAAAAATCAAGGGTGCAAAATGACTTTTTTGTAACGCAGTCACTTTTTGTAATTTTTTTTATGGGTAGATTTGATACACGACAATTATTTTCAGATAAACAATTAGATACTGTACAAACCTTGCAAAAACAAATACGTGGACCCCCGGTTATGGCTGGTTCTGTTATCGGCCCAAATCGGTAATCAGCCGGTTTTTCGATTTGCTTATTTTTCCCATTGAGTTGTGTTATTTTTGCAGTGCAAATGTGAAATAACAACCATGGGCCCCAAAAAAAGTTCCTGTGGAAAAAAAGGAAGAACACCATGATTTTAAACATGAAGTATAGAAAAATTTTAGAGTGGTGTGAGGGTGTACAGGATGTACAGCAAAAAAAAAACAACAGTTACATCCATCCTGGGAAAGAAAGAACAAAACAGGATGCAAAAGTTTTTCAAAAGGAACTTTTCTAACTAAACAAAGGGCCCCCAATAAGGGGGAAAATGGAAAAGTTTATTTTTTGGGTTAAGGAAAAAGAATTAGTGGGGGAAAAAAATGTTGTGGATCGTTTTTGGAGAAGGCAAGTCGTTCTGAGATCTTGCAAAGAAAATGCCTGGAACAAGTCCTGCATTCGTGAAATTTAGGACCAGCAAAGGGTGGTTTGATAGATTTAAGAAGCATAGTGGGGATACAATGTTTTAAGGCATGGTGAGGCTGCAAGTTCTGACAAATGTGCGGGGGAAATTTTGCAGGAATTTCCCGGGGACATAGAGGCTAAGGATTTAAACCCCAACAAGTGTTTAGTTGGACAAAACAGGGCCCGTTTTGGAAAAAAGCCAAACAGGACCTACATTTCCCAGGGGAAAAGACACCGCCAGGACACAAGCCTAAAAGACAGGCTTCTCTTTTTTTTGTGTGGTAAAAAGCAGGGGGAATTTCAAATGAGCCTTTACCATGTATCACAAGAAAATCCCTGTTTTAAGAAAAAAAATTCATGAAAATAATTTTGTGTATTGGAAAGCTAACATAAGGCATGGGTCAAAGGGCAATTTTCAAAGGTGGGGTTTAAAATGTGTTGCCAAAGGGGGGGAAAAAACCCCTGGAAAACAAATTGCCACTCAAGTGCCTCCGGTACTAAAAATGCTCCTGCACATCCTCCAAATTGGAAGACCCAAATGTTAAGGGACTTCATTTTTTTAAAAATAAAGTTCTTCCCCCCTAACTCACTCCCCCTCCAGCCCATGGGCTACAGGTCATATCTAACTTCAAAATCCTACACAAAAGGGAGTGTTTCAAAGTGCTTTAAATGACCTCGGCACTATTTTACCCCAAGAAGTTCTGGAGGGAAACACTTCGCTATCCTCCATTGCTAAGCCTTATAGGAAGGCTTGGGGGGGAGTGACTTCCAGGGCTTGAACTCTGCTTGAGAAAACGTGGCCAGAGGGGCCAAGAGGGGGTTTTTGAAGGGTTTGAGGCTAAAACCTGTCCCGACCCTGCGACCCGTGGACTTTTTGTGGCACGGGGAAAGTCCCGGGGGTTGGAGGTGAGGGGCGGGGATGTGGAAGAGGGTGGAGGACCACGGGGAAGGGCTAACCACTGAAGAGCGAAAAGAGCTTCAACTGAAAGCAACAGACTGCAACTGGGAACTTGCTTCAGAGGAGGAGGAAGGGGGATGAAAAGGGCCTTCTTCTTTTGATAAGAAAAATTTGTGCAAAGGGGAATTTTTGGCAAAGTTTTTTTCAAAGTCCCAAACCCCCGACAAAGCTGAAAACAAGCCATATCTGCAACATTTTATGAAAAAACCCCGTCCCCTTCAGGGAAATCTTAGAATCCAGAAACAGAGCCCCGGGACATTATTTTGTGAGACGGGGGTCCGTGACTCAAGCTGATCCTAGGGCATAAAAGACAAAGAAGGGAAAAACCCCGGGAAGGTTTTTGCTACCAAATTTTTTTATGGAGGGGATTCCCCTTCCAAACACTAACCCCCCTCTTTCCTTCTCCAATCTTCCAGAAGCCAGCATTAGCCTTCAAAAAATTTTATATAAATTTACAAAATTTTGCCTAACAACAAAGAATACCTTGGGAACGCCTTTTAATATCGTCTGTCCTCTGCAAAAACCCTCCATGATAAAAGGGAGGTTAACCCCTTCAGGGCCAAGGCCAAAATCTGAAGTGATACCCAGTTCCAAAAAATTTTTTGAAAAAAAAAAAAAAAAATTTTTTTCTTACAGAATTAAAGGTATATTTTTGTGAAGAAATAAGAAAAAAAAAAAAAAATTCTGATCATACTTACCGAGATCATCCCAAGAATTTTGTCCAAAATGATGGGTGGCGGCAACAAACGAATTCCACATACGCGCATTACTTTAGAAAGCGTTTTTAAGTTTTTTTTTTTTTTTCCCAAATTTTTTTTTTCCACAATTTTTGGGGGCCCTGAGAGCCAGTTTGTTTTAAATGATAAATATAAACTACTGTTTGAAAAAAATAACCGCACTAAAGTTAATCATTTTATTTTTTCCCACTGTTTTTTTATTACAATAAACTGCCAAATCTGTAAAATACAATTTTCTTCAATTTTTTACATATTTACAACCCGGGGACAGGTTTTAGAACTGCTGGAGCTTGGGGAACTCCTTGAAACAAGGCACCAGCACAGAGGCCCTTACATTCCCACAATAAACCGAGTGTCTTTCGCTTTGTTCTGCCGTTTTGTTTGTCACAGACATGCATCTTTTCGAGAAAATTTTCTTCTGAGTTAAAGGGAAACTGTATTATAAAATGATCACCTTCCCTCCTCAAACATTTGGGGTATATCCGGGGAAATTCGAGGACCTTTTGTATACAGGTTTTTTTACCGGGTACTTCATTCGAGTTTCTACAACAGACAAAAAAAAATTCACCAACAGTGGTCGTTCCCCCCATCTTTTTTGGTAAATTTTATATGCATTGACATTAAATGCCCAGGATGGAAGAAAATTTTTAAAGTACCACTTGAACCCTTTTTACGAACACAATAAACAAAAAAATCGCATGCACATTTTAAACCAACGCATTTTTTTGTTATAATCATCACTGTCACTAGTTTTTGAAACGTTCATTAGTCACTCGTCAACTTTGCCACTGTCTTGCATTTCATTAGGGTAAAATGGTTGTCAACAATGTGACTCTCTTTTGTCATGCCACCATAAGCCATAGTCTTGCATAAACCCCTGCACGTCATCACCATGACACCGCATTGAGCCGGGGCATATTTTACGTTTAAACGCACTGGCCACACACATCTGTCTTGTTCACTCGCTGAAATCCTGAGTAATGAGCTTGTGTCCATTATCGGTTATAAGTATGCCCCTTACCAAGATAAGGGGGCCCTCATGTTTCTCACTACGTCACCTGAGATACCCAATAACATCTTTTTATCTTTTAATTTTTACTTCCGTGTAACAACAATATCCAACACCAGGCCACTGTCACAGTCACAAGTACAAACATTTTATACCAAAGGTTTCCCCCTTTCCAGTATATACTGCTTGAATACAGTCTACCTTTGAACAAAATCAAACACTCCAATTACAAGATTCTTGAAAGGATAAAAAATATAGCCCAAACTTTTTTTGAGAAAATGAAAATTTTTAATCTTTTATAACCGTCCTTTTGTCGGCCTGGTTTTGTCAGAGAAGGGAACATCGTAACAGTAAGATAAACCTTTCCTGGGGATGTTTCACTGAAGAAACCCGGGGAGAAATTAGCCGATCTGTGGGCCATATCTTTTATATTATGCTTTTTAAAATAGCAAAAACATAAAGTTTTCAAAAACAAATACATTTCGCAACAGTCGTCCTTTCCACCTGGTTTGTCTTGACTGGGGGATAGACGTATTTCCATGGTGTCCAAAAAACTTATTCTTTTCCCGACAAAAGTTTCCATCAAAGGCTGGCAAAGAATAATTTTAAAGAATTCCAGTTCATTGGCCTGTTCCCCAAAGGGGGCAATAGGTAGAATTCCACTTTGAGAGTCATCAAAATGGGGGCTTGGAACAAAATTTGGGGTTTTGCCCAATCCCAGATACGGTTTTTGGGGGATACGGACATCATAGCTGGGGCGGGGGGTTTTGGGGTTTTGGGGTGGGCTGGTGGGGTGATCTCTGCTTTTTCCTTTAACTGACGAGTCCCCGCAGCGGGGTCCCAGCCTGGGCTGGTAGTCACGCATGGGGGTGCCACTACCATCACCACACCACCATCTACGATGCCTGGGTCTATCCATCCCCAAGTGTAGCCCCTCATCCCACTATCACTATCTAAACCGGTGAGGGCCACAGGGTGAAATCCGTCCCCTGGGCACAGCATAGGCACACTACCCGAGCGCATGCAGCCAACTACCGACGCTTCAAAGGAATATGTTCTTCACTACACACTCGAAAGACGTCAAGGGGCAATAAAATCACAAACCACGGCCATCATCATTACGAAGCGAGGGCCCGGCCACGCGAAAATTTTTTTTTCCTTGCATTTAGCACAACCGACCGTAAATCACGAGTGCCCACACCAGAGGTAGAAGGTTAAGGATTGTCAGGGTTTTCTGCACTATTATCGATATCCTGGTCATTCCTTTCGGTCACTAACTGATCAAAGCCATAGAATTCGTCTTCATTTCCACTTCCATCAGTGTCAGAACTATCAGATAGGAAGAGGAGAGTCCCAATTTTCCGGTGAGTGAGAGCTGACTTGCGACAAGGCATGGTGAACAAGGGTAACTGAGCCGGCATTCCCACAATGCTATGCGGGCGCCTAGATTTTTTGT